CTGTGAAGAAGCAGGATTGGGTTGTGAACCTCATAGGAAAAGATATTGGTAGTCTTTTAATTAAGAGTAGGGCCCCAACCTTGGGAAAACCCAGCAGAAGTCTTAGTGGCAGATTCCACAGTGGCCACAAGGTGGCGATCTTCTGCACCTATTTGAAACGCTCTGTACGTTATCATCCAGTTTTAGCTTATATTCAATATTAAATACATCATTAATTTTAAAAGTGTGCATTAATTTTAAAAGGATGCAAGAAGAAATGGTGTAACAGGCGAGCCTTCAAGCTCACGTTTCAGTTAAATACTGACATGCTCTAGATGGAGGAATTTAGTGTGATTTCCACATCAGATCCCAGAAAAAAGATAAAAATCTGTTTGAGAAAAGGCTGTGGACTTTGCAAAATGAAAAATGTCACTCAAAAAAAGTGTCTTAGAAGCTTTCTGAGAAGTTGGTTTTTCAGAGTACTAGTAGATGCAATTTGGTCATTAAAAAAACATCATCTGGGAAGATTTCCTTTTTATTAGTCTGTAGTCAGGATCAGAAAATGAAAGGGAAGCAGGAAGAAAGAAAAAAAAGAAAAGAGTTCTGGATAAACATAATAACACCAGGGTAGTCCTGGACCAAAAATGACAGCCGAGCTGAGGCTTGGCTGGTGTAGACCGGAGCTGTTTCTCCTCTACTCAGCTCCCCGGGAGGAGCAGGAGCAGGTGAGGAAGCCAGCGGGCTGGGAGCAGAGAGAGGAGACCTTGAGGGTCACCACAGCACAACTTCAAGTGAGCAACACAGCCTCGGACCACTGGAAGGCCAAGTCATTGTCAAGGTCACTGCAGGCCTGGGACCTCAGGGACAGAGAGGCCATTGGTTGGGCTTACAGTAAGGTCAAGGCATCATTCCGAGGGACAGGCTGCAAAAGACAGCAAAGGCCTCGGGCCAGATATACGTACATATCTGTGCACATCCAGTAGGGGGAGTGGCTGTTGGCCAGAGCCTCACACTGGGGTCATACATTTGAATGTAGGATCAATGTGTCTAGGGAGGTTAGTAGGAGGGGGTGTAGAGGGATAAAAATCACATCCTTTCTAAGGGCACAGGGGAAAGCTGGCTTCACATCCCACCCTCACTTTTCCTTGTTTCTCCCATTGTGCTCTTGGTCAGGATAGGAAATGGTAGAAGAAAGAAAACTCCTTCAAGAAGAAAGAGCTGAGGGGGCTGTTGTCTTATAAATCTGGAGAATGTGGGAGAGAAAGAAAACCTTTCTCCTTTCTCTTATCCTCCAGCGTGGGGCCAGGGCAAAGCCTCAAGGTCCTGGTTGTTTTGAGGGACAGCTGCCCTTTGGTTCGGGGAAATCAGATGAGAGCTCTGGCAGAAAGGATAGAGGTTCTCGACACATAGCAGGTGTGTCTCCAGGACTGTAGCCCATGAGAGCCTTCCGTGTGTTGCTAAACAGCTGGAGGAGATGCTTATATGGCTGAGGAGAGAAGATACTTAAGAGACAAGCCCCCTTGGCAAGACCCTCTTCCATGGCATTATACAGGGATCCAGGGAGATGGGCTGCTCAAAGCTAGGCACACAGAGAGAGCTCAAATCTTGCCAAGCGATTGTGAGACCTGGGGCCATGTTTAATGTAAAACACTGTCAGTGATATAAAGGCAATCAGTTTATTTGCTAGCCCTCTAAATGAAAACCCTGTCCCACACCCAGTGTGACGAATGCCTTATCTTTGGGGTACATGTCTCACTGACCTGGGCTGATTTTCTTACACTCGGGTGGTCAACTCTGAGGCAGGAATGGAGAAGTGTAGAGGAGGTCAGTTTTAAGAAGCAACTTTCTGAGTTTTTGTTTGTTGATTTTTACCTTGCATGGCAGACTTCATATTTGAAGATGAAATTTCTGATCCAGAAGGCAGGGGTGCGGTGCTCAGAGGGATTTTCTGATGAGTAGGCGTGGATTTGCATGGATTTGTCCACATTCTCCCCTTTGGTCTCTGCATAACTGCCAGCCTTCTGCAGGCAGTAGCCCAACCCAAGGAAAGTGAGGAAAGCTGACCGGCTTGCACAGGGGCTGGAATTCAGATGTGAGCCTGGCAGGCCCAGAGCCCTCGGCAGCTGCTCTGCCTGTTTCTACACCCCTCATTACACACATCACACTCACGTGCAAGACAGTCAGCTGGAAATGAATGCTGCCTTAAATGAGACAATTTTGGAAGTATGAATGGTCAAAACATAAAATTAGAAGTCAAGACAATTTCCCTCCGACTATTTAGAACTATTAAACTAAATATTTAATTTAAACTAATAATAAGCTAAATGCACTATTCTCAGATCGAAGCAGCCCTTTCAAATAATTGTAATTAGATTTTTAAAAAAGAATTATTTAAAAAAATAACATTTCCTTTGTGTGACTGGTAGTCAAATTACTAGAATCTTAGACATTTTGATCTCACTTTAGATAATTAGCTGTGCTGTGTTAATTTCCGACAACTGTGTCTTTGAGTTCTGTCTGGCAGCCATGTAGATGCTAGTGTCACAGAAAACTTGCTGAACGGCCAATATGTTGAATGCCTTGGCAAGGCCACAGAATTACAGTATTTAGTAATATATACTCCTTGCTCTAAGTAGAGTGACTATACGATATTTCCAACTTTTGAAACTAAAAGGAGGCACTATTAATAATTACTCCAGGAAAACAGCTATAACCTGGGACTTCCTTACTTTTAGGCAAGGTTTCTTCTTCCATGGTATTTTACGGAAAGGAGAGAGATACAGACATAAATATAGATATTATTCAAGTTCTCATGAAGTTTCTCATATTCCAGGTCATTTCAAACTTCTTTTTACTTTAACAATAAAATACTATTTTTAAAAGATCCTGAAGTGATTCAGTCACTTCAAGTTTTGCCTTTTAATAGAGGTCAGCTAATGGAAAGGAGTTGTTTAAAAGGAGGCATAAAAACTTGGCACAGATTTAGTAATTATTCTTGGGGACAGTCCCTCAAAATTTCGCTTGTTGGATTTTGCAAGCATTTAAAAAAGCAGAAAAGGTAAGTGGTTGTGCTGTCAACTTTAGGATGAATGGAAGCTCCTATTGTTACGACAGCTCATGGTTTGAAATGTATTTTTCAGATACATCATCAGACATGATTTCTCATAGTCAAACAATGAAGCATGAAGACGAGTGCTCTGGACAACTTAGTAAAAGGTAACAAAAATTGGCCATTGTGTTGAAGGAGACAATGAAGATGGACTGTGTAGGTGGAGACTGAATATGGGCATGGAAAAAATTCTAAATGAAGCATTATTTTGTGTAATACATGGTTTTTAGTATCAATAAATACTTTAACAAATTATTATGAGTAGACACTCAAATATTTCATCCATCTCCTTGAAAGTTTATATATTTGCTTATATATTTCTTGGAAGGGGTAATTAGGTTTACTTATTTTCCTAATTTTAGAGGAGATACTGGGGATTGAACCCAGGACCTTGTGCATGCTAAGCAGGCACTCTACCACTTTAACTATACCCTCCCCTGAGAAAGTTTATATATTTAAATTGGCCAGAAACTGTCCTTTGGCTCTTCTTATAAGGAATCACCCTGTATTTGGGGTCGGCTTATATCCAGGCATATGTTGTAATCACCATATGGGGTTCTATTCAGTGCAGTTTTGTAGTGGTAGGCTTCTAAGATTCAGGCTGGGAGAATGAGGGGTCCCCCTGACTCCCTGTCTGGGCAGAAGCGTTGTCAGGACCCCAAGTGACAGAGCAAGCCATTAAGCCTGTGAGCTCTGTCTTCTTTATCCTAAGCTCAGCTGCTGTCGTTCAAAGCCCCGCCATGCAGGGGAAACGGAAGATGACCACCAGGTTCTCTGCAACCAGAACTCTCTCCGCGCCACCCTCACTGCCGTGGGGTGCTCCCTTTCCACCTCAATACAGACCCAAGCCCTGACCCGGTTTGGTGTCAAGATGGTCTGGGGCACATTTACCAAAAGCCAGACACTGGGTGGGTCTGGAAAGAAGGCTGTGTCGGCCTGGTCTTTTTCAGCCTCTTGGAAGCTTACCGTCTAGTTGGAGGTGGGCAAGGCAGGCCCCTGTCCTGACCAGCTCTGCGCCTGTACGCCAGTCCCTTAAACTCGCTGAGGGAGTGAGATGAGTTTCCTTCCAGAGCTGACTATTCCTTTTATCTGGGAAAATAAATGTAAAAGGACAGTGGAAACTTAACATAAAGGTACAGAAAATGAACACCTAAGAAGTAAAAAAAAAAGGATCAGGGCGGCTGAAGCGATCAGGCTTTCTTGGCAAAAGAAAATTAGGCTCCCCTCCCCCATTCGCTGTGGACTTTTAGTTTCATAGATTTTGGAGTAGGAAGTAAACTGAAGGTCAGGGGAGGAGCACCCATGTACTTAAGGCCATACAGATGCATAAAAGGGCCTTAGGAACCAAAGAAAATCATCTGGTCTCCCAAACTTGAAAGTAAGGCATGACTTGGTATGTGAAGCGACTTGGGAAAAAGGGAGTTGTGTTCCTGGTGGCCTTGCTCTTAAATTGGATGACTCATTTCCCCTGAGTTGGTCCTTTAAAGGAACATCAGAGATTTTGAGGTGCTAGGGGCCAGCTTAGGGATGGGTGAGGGGTGCAGGAATGGGGACATGAGAGTGTGGGAGCATCTCCAGGACCACTGAGGTCACTTGGTTGACCCAACTGCTTTCTAACGAAGATCTGAGGAGTCAGCCAGTGCCAGGTTGGGGGGCTTACAGCTCTGACACCCTTCATTCTCCAGCTTGCTCCAGTTCCCTGTTTGGTTGGCACCATTTACAGCTGGGGAAACAGTTACATGAACTTCTTTGTAGAACTCACATGGACCACAAGCACGCCATCAGAAAGCTATGAGATACAACTGGGGGAGGGTATAGCTCAGTGGTAGAGCGTGTGCTTAACATGCGTGAGGTCCTGGGCTCAATCCCCAGAACCTCCATTATAAATAAATAAGTAAACAAACCTAAGTACCCACCCCTCCCCTCCTAAAAAACTTTTTTAAAAGTTATGAAATAAAAGAGAAAATAGATTCCAGGTCTGCAGCAATCCAGGCGGTTCTAATTCCTACACTTGTGGTTTTCTTTAAAACTTTAAAACATTTGCTTTCTTTCTTGGAAACAATTTCCCGCTTGTTTTAAGCAAAGATTATTGGATGCCAGTCATGATCATAATCATCACAATTATCATCAGAGTGCTTCCCTTGTGTCCTGCCCGCTCTGTGCTTTGTGCTCATCACCCAGAATGCACATCGTCAACAGCTGAATATTGCCTTCAGTTTTGGGCAGCACATTTCATGAAGGATATTGGAAAACAGGAAGTTCCCAGGAGAGAGTTGCCGGGATGGTGCAGGAGCTGGAAACTAGAATAAACGAAGAACAGGCAAAATTACAGAACATCTCTGGCCTGGAGAAGAGAATCCTAATTTTAAAACTGAGAGTTACGAGCTGCCCATAATGCAGAAGGGACAAGTTATAGCTTATTTTGACTTTTGTAAAAAAAAAAAAAGAACTTAATAAAACATAGAGCTGTTCAGTATTGGAATGGGCTGGGATGAAGTCATGAGCATCCTGTCCCCAGAAATGCTCATGGAGAGATGGGATGAGCATCTTTCAGCAATGCAGTATGAGGGACTTCTCCCAGGGTAACTTGCAGGGAAAGACTCTGTGTTTGAACTAAGGATATAAAAAAATGTACAACAAAGCGCCTGCCTTCTGAGGGCCTACTGTCTTTCACAAGGAATGATGCCTAAATAAATATATAAGTAACAAGACTAGGGGAGAGCTGTGGGTGGGGAGTGTAGCGGTGGATGTGAAAGGCTTCATTAGGAGGTAGGATGTGGGGTGGCTGCTGAAATGTGACCGGGACTCAGGTTAGTGGTGAGGGAGAATCTGGAGGTGCAGCTGGGGCTGTGGGGAACATTGTGAACAAACCCTTGTGCTAGAACAATGGATGTGCCTAGGACACAGAGCAGCGTTTGTGAGGACAGGGCTCATTGAGATTAGAGACCACTATAAAGGCCAGATCCGGGAAATTCTCTAACTCCAGGTTGTTGCAATAAGTCCAATTAAATTGCTAAATAGCAGTGCCTTTTATGTTTGACAGGCAGTGCTGGCCTCTTCGTGCAGTACCTCAGAGAGGCCAAATGCTAGGGTAGACGCCACGTAATATCATGGCATTGTCCTGACCTCTTTCATCACTGGAGGATCTCGCCCTAACAGGCTCTTAAGGGAAATAGTACATTCTTTTGGCATTTGCCAGTATCAGCCTACCCACCCCAAACCCTCAAAGCCCACTGTATAATTACCCCCAGGAGGCCAGAGGTCATTTAGAGCAAGTGCAGGCAACACCCAGCTATTAGACCTCAAATTTCAGAGCTCTCCCTAAACTCCAGCCTGAAGCATTTTCCAAATGGGAGGGGCCCCAAAGGTGGGGGGGCCTTTGAGGTTGGTATTTCCTGTGTGCGGTTTGTGAGGTTGGCCTGGGCAGGCTGTGTGCCTGTTGGGAGGAGTGTAGCTCCACTCTTAGGGGGCCCCCTCCCCTTGGCACATACCTCCCCCCGCTTCTGTATTTAGCTAGGCATCTTGGGAGGGAAGCCCAGGTGAGACCCAGGGCTCCTGTGTGACTCACTTCCCCAGATGGGAGAGGTGGCTCAGACGGGGAGTGCTGAAAGGCAGCTTTTCCAGAAGGGACCTTCCAGTGACAGTATAAGCAGCCAACCAGCCAGTCAGCCAGCGCCTCTCCTGTTTCCTAAGAGAATGAGGAGAAGCTGGGAAGTGGGCAGTCCAACAGTTTAGTTTCATGCAGGGTGATTTCCTGGCCAAGATGGCAGCAATAACTGCCCTGCTCTGTACAGGAGCTGCCTGCAGACAGCTGCCCCCCGGTCTCATTTGAGGGGTCCCAGAAGCCCCACAGTAGCCTACTCTGAGGTTTAAGATGCTACCATCAGGATGGATTCATTGGCTTGTAGCATAAATCTCACTCTGAAGTTCACTTTAAAGAAGCAGTTTCATCAGGATAGAATAAATTAGTCTGTTGGCTCATTCCTCCCTGACAGGAGGAGCGTACTGCCCTGAAGGCATGAGGAGCTGGAGAAGGCAGCCGAAGACAACTAGATGTTTTGACTTCAGAGAGCAGAGAGTACCAGGGGCCACATTCACTTCCTTTAGGACTTGCCCCGGCCCAACACAGACCCAGTCAAGCAGCATCTTCTGGCTCTGGGAACCCAGAGCCCAGGATAAGGTTCTGTGCTCTGAAATAGATACTTCTGAACCCAGTTTTAAGTTCAGTCTCTCCAGGAGGAGAAAACACAAGAATCTAGAGTTTGACCATGATCACCACTTCCACCCTTCCAACCTTGCCCTGCATTGCCTGGAGTTCTTGCATTCATTTTCAGCACCCGGCTTTTGTCTGAAGTTGGCTGGAGATTCTCAAGTCTGTTCTCTGTGAGGAGGAAACCCGTTTTCTCTGAGCAGACATAGCACTCTGCAGGTGTGGGAAGTTCTCCATCTCTATCCCGGTCCAGAAGCCCATGTTCTGGGACTATCACACACAGAGCAAAGGCTTCTGCTCAGATGCTTTTCAGAGAGAGGGAAACTGTCCAGCAGATGTCAGTAAGTTCCAGGATGTGCCAGGAGCCTGGCTTGGCAGTCAGCGGTGCTCTTTTCCAAGCCAGCTCAGCATTCAAAGAACTCAGAGGGCATGTGACTGACCAGAAGGCCTTTAGTAGCGGAGCTCCTGAAGAGGACAGCAAGGAGGGGAAATAGAAGTTCATGTCCTTGCAGAGAAGAACAGAGATTTGTCATGTGTTTGAGGGTTCCAGGAAGTCTGCGCTATTGAGCCCAGGCTGAGAAATGCTTGATGAAAGTCAAGACAGAGATTGTGAAGCACCAGACAGCAGTTCATTCTGCCCATTTCACTGCCACCAGGTACAATCCAGTCTGTCCTTGCCTAGAGGCAGCCTGTTCAAACCAGACTAAGGTTCCTCATCCAGCCTGAATGAGGACTTGGCTGACAGCAAAGAGCGCAGGCACAGTCAGCCCAGCCTAGAGGACTCCGTTCTGCACTAAAGGGACCCTTCACCCCATAAAGTTGTGCAAACTAGGATCCCTAGAGCCACTATGGCTTGGCCTGGGCCCTGCTTCTGGCTTCACATCAGACCGAGTTCTAGAAGAGGTGAGGCAGAGGTGTGAAAAAGAGCTCTTCACTTCACTGTATCCTTTTTGTCTGATCAGTATTTATTTAAAGACTGCTATTTCCAAGTGTGGGGCTAGAAACTTTGGAGGGTATACAGAGATCTAATGCGGGGTGCCTGAGTTTACGGGGCTCAGGATCTTGAAGCCGACTCTGGTGTCCACAGCTGCTGCTGACCAGCGCACTGTCCCATCGGCAGTGTGCTGATTCCAGGCAGAGGAATTCCTCCCCCATGCTATAGGATCTTGATAAGTCTCTCAATCGATCATCACCCACTACTGCTCCGGATATGGGACTGTGACCTAGGATGGCTTATCCGTCTACATCGGCATCCTTATATTCTGTTTTCTACAGCCAAAGGAGTGAAACCAGCCCATCAATTGATATTTGACCTGCCACACTGTTTCACACTATATAGCAACCAGCATGAAATTCTCCTGGGAAGGGACGGATCCAGTGATGTTCTTATTTAACATGGGATGCACTTGGTCAAATACACACGTGTTGAAACTGGCTTTCTTCTGATTAGCAGCTACTCTCATCACCCTAGAAAGTTGAGTTTCACATTCAACCTAGATTTAGGAGTTTTGAAGGACGAGGATTGTGTCAAATAGCTGGCCAGCAGTTTCCAAGCACTTGGAGATGCTGTGCTGACATGCCAGTCCCTTGCACGGTGGGAGAAGGATACACTATCATTAGAGAAGGGCTAGGAAAAGTGCTTGCTGAATATTGTAAACCATTCTCCAAGACTCATAACGTTACACATTCTATTAGTAAAGCTGTATTTTGTGTTTTGCAGTTTTCTTTTTCAGAGTCGAGCCTAAAGTGTTTTCACTTGAGCCTGAAGAGCAGAGGGAGCAAGCACTCAGCCCTTTCACCACTGCTGTACCCCCATGTGCTAAGCAGAGACATAACGTGTTCCTGCTGGTCTCACAACTGGCCTTAACACAAAGCTCTTGGCCTTGGCATCCATTGCCAACCCATTAGTGGTGGCCTACTATATGGCATGGAAGATGAAAGCTGTTTTCCAGCAAACACTATAGCCAGTGGTGCAGGTTTATGTAAAGACCCCGCAGGAATTTTGCTAGCTCTTATCTGTTCCTATGCTGGTGTAAGGCTTAGAGAAGCACACAACTTCAAAATCAATCAACTGTAGATTGTGACACTGATACTGTGAATATAAATGTTTATGGAAAGCCATATGAAGATAAGACCAGTAACTTTGAAGTACTCAATATGTCAGTCTCCTGTCCCTGTGGGCAGAAGATAAATATTCATTGAATGAATCAAAGAGTGGTGATCAGTTGAAAGGGGTAGGGTCAAAATTTCACATTTCCAAATGTGTTTTGCTTCACACTGACAGGTTCTAGACAGACAGTCAAGGAGACCCAAGGTAGTCTGTAGGTACTTTAAAAAAAAAGTGACATGTCTCCAACAAAACGCTGGCTCAGTCTGAAGCCTGCACTGGGCTGAGAAAGTTTTCTACTTTCAAGCTCATTTATTTCCTGGAATCTCAGATTCATTCTTATCGCAGAGGGCCAACCCTCTGAGAACTTGACATAGAGGACAGAAATGTAACAATCCATATAAAAAGGATATATTAGTTTCCTAGAGCTTTTATAATTAAGTACTGCAAAAGGAGTGGCTTAAAACAACAGAAATTTATTCTCTCACAGTTCTAAAGACTAGAAGTTCAAAATCAAGGTGTCAGCAGGGTTGGTTCCTCCTGAGGGCTCTGGAGAATTTGTTCACTGCCTGTCTCCTAGCTTCTAGTGACATTCAGGGACTGATGGCTGGCAATCCCTAGCATTCCTTGACTTGGACATACATCTCTCCAGTCTCTGCCTCCTTCTTCACATGGTGTTCATCATAGTGTCTGTCTTCATATGGCCATCTTTTTATAAGGACAGCAGTAATGGACTAGGAGCCCACTTCACTCCAGTATGACTTCATCTTAATTAATTACATTGGCAATGATTCTATTTCCAAATAAGGTCACATTCTCAGGGTGCTGAAACTTAAGACTTTGACATATTTGGTGAGGGGGTGGAGAACACAATCAATCCATAATCGGGGATGACAAATTTCAGACTCTGCCAAATAATTAATCTTGCCAAAGCATGTAAGGTAACATCTTAGAGAGGTTGATTTGCGACAGTAGGTTCATGGGGTTTTGAAAGAAACTAAGACATCCAATAATGTATTCACAAAGGACAGAAATGTTCCTGTTCTCTTATTTTTCCATCTCAACTCTGATTAGAATGTCAACAGTCACCTAAAAGATGAAGGCTCCATATCTCATCACCAATTTTCAGAGCCACCTTATTTTCAGTTTCTCAAATTTGAAGATGTCAGGAACACACTGTTCAGTATTTGTATCAGTAGCACCAGCTTTCTGTATCTTGTTAAGATGCCTTTTCTCCCCAGGGCTTTCCACCTACCAGATTTTCCACACAGCTTCAGTGCATGTAGAAATAGAAAAAAATATTCCACAGAGGTTAAAGTGATGTGAGGCTGAGTCATTAACAGGGTTGTGTCTTTAGGATAAGTGGGTATTAAAATAGTCGATTTCAAAGAAGTAGACTGATCACCCCGTTTTGGTTGCACCAATAATGAGAACAAAGTGATGATACTTTGTGTCATTCATTTGCTAGTGTGTTTATAATTTTTCACTGGGCAGATGCTGGAATGATATATTTTGTCTTATGCAGCAACACTAGACAGACAGCGAACATTTTTTTCCAGTTGAGTTATTCATGGCTCAACACTGTTGTAGAAAGAAGTCATTTCATTCCTTTTGCTGCAGAGAAAGGAAAGAGTTTGTGCTACTCTTTGCTGTTGAGCTGGAACAGCCTGTGGCTAATGCCCATTTGCAAAACCACATTGGGAGAGAACTTTTTTACTCTTTCTGCTTTCTGACCTCCCCAAAGACATCACTGTCAAGTGCAGGCATTAAAAGCTCTATTGAGGGTTTCTACAAAGATGGTAGGGAAGAAGGGAAGGCTTTAGGTGCCCAGCATTTGGACTAGATTTAACCTTATCCCTGTGGACTAGGCCACCAAGACTAATGATACGCAGTCTATACCATAGGTCCCATTGGGACATGCATAATTTTCTCCAGGGAGGAAATGCCTTTCCTTGAGAGCTGCAGGGTTCTGTATGCTGCACTGAGAAAATCTAATCCATTTCGGCTGATTACACTGAGATACTCTCTGTTCCCAATTAAATCAATTATCTGAGTAATCTTCATAATTAACGGTAGAAGACTTGAGCTGTCAGGACTGGCTGGAGCGAAAATATTTGGGTGTGTGGGTTAAGCCACAGTTGCTCTGTGGGTGTCTGAGGCTCAGGCAGGGAAGGGGGCCGACTGCACACTGGGGCCAACTTTCTCAATTAGCAATGGACTTCAACTAAATGGCAGAGAGTGCTTTCACCTAGAAGTTAGGAGACAGTGTTCCTGTTCAACCTCTGGCACTAGAGAGCTGTATCACATTGAACACAAGTCTTCACTTCACAATGACTTATTTTCACTTCTGTAAAATGCAGGAGGCAAGCCAGATGGCTTTTGTCAGTATTTACAAAGCAAGTGCTGAATATCAGGCATTGCAGTGAGCATTATTTCATTTAATCCTCATAACCAAACTTCTAGGACAAGCAAGACACAGAGAGGATAAGTAACCTACCCAAGGTCACACAGCCAGTAATTTTCAAAGACCAGAGAATCTCTCAGCCTCTTGAAGTTCAGTAGGTATTCTGTGAGAATTGTTCCACATGTAGATGTACTTTTGATTCATGGGAGAGGGTGAGCCCCGCATCCTTCTCTCCTGCCTTCTTGACAGCCCCTCCTCTCAGGTCCTTTCCAAAGGTGATTTTGACAGCCATTGCTGAGAGTCAAGTGGAAGGAAGGCTCTGTGTTTCAATTAAGGCTTAAATTAATTTAGATTCTTGCTATTCAAAATCTGTGGATTAACAGCATGGGTATCACCGGCAATCTTTCTGGAAATTTGGAATATCAGATCCTCCTTCAAATGTATTAATCAGAACCAGTATTTTCAACTGGATGCTTTTTAAAGAATGAGAGGCACTGATCTAAGGCTGGCTCTTGGTCAGTCAAATTGGAACCACTGCAGGGGATTTCTGTTTTCTGTCACTTCTGGTAAGCTCTGAAGGCCCTAGGCTGAAGTGCCAGGAGAGGGGTGCCTTCTTTCCAGAAGTTAGTTTTAAGCCATTTGCACAGTGCCAAGAATACGTGTTTCATTTTTTAATTTCTTTCCCAAATCATCTGCGTTTGACTCTCTGCTCCATTTCCAAAAGGAATCTTCCAGTAGCCAGAAGAGATCTTTGTCATCTAACCACAGCGGGGGAGGCCATTATGAACAGATTAATGTATGTGCAGGATGAAATTCTCCAATGTCCTTTTCCAGGCAGGAGAAAATGCTGTTCTAACTCTCCCACTGGCTCTTCTCCTTTATATAACAATGATGCTACACAAAAGCTTTCTATGGAAAGATAATTAGATTTCTAACTCTATTTGTTCAAAACTCACTTAACATTATAATGGCCCTAGTTATATTGTTTTATCAACTCATCAGTAGTTAAATACCAATTTCTTAATAAATATCTAGATTTTTGTACCTACATCTAGCATTACCAAAGCAGGAAGGGAAAAAGCAGCTAGAAATAGAAATCCATTAATAAAAACAGATACCACATAGCCTTGCTGTACTAGGCTTAAATGCACTGGGAAAATTTAGGTGCTATTTTTTTTTATCTTAGCTATGTATGTATTTGCTTAGTGTTTAATCATTGTGGTACTTTTGGCAAGTGGGTCACCGAAGAAGAAAAATATAGCCTGTATTCACAACTGAAGTGCCAATTTAACTCAATCTAAAATGAATTAAACATATACTTTAATCTAGTAGTGATTATCCCTCTGTCGCACTAGAGATTGCAACCCTGTTTCCTGAATGCTCTAGAGCTTCCCCTTTGACATTTCAGGTGAAAACAAAAAAGTAGAGATAGTACGTGCGCGCGGGCGTGTGTAAGGATTCTAAGGATTTTGTTTGTTTGTTTCCGTTATGTGCGATGGGGATTTCTTTTCCTCTTTTTCAGATATATGATAATAATGGCTTTTTTCCCAATGTTTTTCCTTCTCTGCTCTTCCCCTGGACGAGGAAGAAGCTACCACTTAATACCGGAAACAGAACTGAATGCATTACTTGCTAAACGAGGGAGAGCTGTGTTTGTAAGACTAAAGAAAGCAGATGTGTGCTCTTATAGGAGGTTTGGGAATGCCTGGCGCTCAGGGATTGGTGGTCTTTTAGGAGGGGGCGTGGTTAGGGATTGGCCGACTTGCTGCCATGGAAATCAGTTACTGAAGTGTGGCTGCTGCTGATTGGCTGACTTTCACAAGCGTTTGACTGTTGCTGATTGGTTGGCTTTCAAAAAAGGATAGTTACAAATTCAAAATTATCATTAATTGATTGGGAAGGGTTTAAACCTGAATTTGGTAGTTACTTGTTACTATGATCAAAGGGCATTCAGTCTTTCTTTCTTGAATTGGAAGTATTGACACTTTTTATGTTCATCTCCCCCCAACTTCCCATCCCCCTATCCCCACTACACCCTACCCCACCCCAGCCGTCTCAGGGAGCCTGTACACTCATCCTGGTGTGAAATATTGGGAGAGAGAATTTTTACGAGTCCCTTGAATCTTAAAGTGCCCATATTTTGGCACTCTACCCTAGGGTAAAATAGGAAATACATGGCTCCTGTGAGGGCCAGTCCCCCTTCCAGAGGCAGCTTTGTTCAAATCTCTTGCCATTCTTCGTCACGGAGCCCAGATTTGGATTAGAACAGCCTGTACCTATCAGCGGTAAACTCATCAGTAGTTAAAGTACCAGTTTCTGACATGGAGGAAGCCTATCGGTCATCCCTGCTCTCAAACTGCTCCGTAAAGTTTAACTGTCCTGTGCCCCCACTCCTTCAGGCTTCTCCTTTCCAAAAAACCAGGTGAGGAGAGTTCCAGGCAATATAATGTATTTCACGATGCAAAGTTGTAGCATAACTGTTAAGGGCAAAGACCCTGAGTAGCACTCTGTGGAATACATCTGCTCCTGAAAAGGGACACAGGCATGTGTCCAAAAAGAGCACAAAGACAAACACACAGATATTCTAATTCCAGCTGATGTCATTTACCAGCTGCATGATATTGGGCAATTTACTTAAACTCTCTGAGCCTCAATTTCCTTGTTTGTAAAATGAGAAAGAGGTAAATCTCAGTACTTGTCTCACAAGATGATTGCAAGGGTTCAATGAGAGGAACACCTAAGACACTTAGGATGGTACCTGGTGGGTAGTAAGTGCTCAAAATGTTGGTTATATCATGATTTGCTATTTTTATCTGTAATAAAATCTGATGGTACAGTAGAATAAGGCCTGATCTGGAATTCAGAAGGCCTGGGTTCAAACCTGACTAATATTCCTAACCAAGTGGTCAAGGGTTAGTCACTAAACTTAGAGACATGATTTCCTCATTCACATAGTAAGAATACATGCATTGCCTACATAATTGAAGATAATATTTACTAACCTCGTGGTGCTATTTAAATCACCTTCCCAGGGCTTCAATTTTCTTACCTATAAAATGGTGCTAATAGCTGCTTAGTCTAAGAGATAAGGTGGCTTTGAGTATTAATGAATTAATATAGATGAAATGATAAGGAACCACAGATATCCTCATTACTTGAGGACAACTGATATTTGATAATTGGTGTTTAAAAAATTAAAGGAGAAATCACTTAAAACTGGAACCAGAATCTCACCATACATGGCATTTTTAATAACTGATTGAATTTTAGTATTAACAATACAACAGTTTTCTATCTTATATTCACTAGACTCTTATATCATAATTGTAATTATTTGTGAATTATTAGAATTGGAAAATAAACAAAGTGTTGATTTTTTTGCCTAATTGGACTGACAAGTTTTTTAATTAAAATTTTTTCTTCTAGCTTTATTGAGATATAATTGACATACAGCACCATAGAAGCTTAAGATGTACAGCATAATGATTTGACTTCTATCCATCATGCAATGATTACCACAATCAGTTTAGTGAATATCCAAACTCTCATATAGATACAAAGTAAAAGAAATAGAAAAAAAATTTTCCCTTGTGATTAGAACTCTTAGGATTTATTCTCTAAACAACTTTCATATTTCACATACAGCAGTGTTAACTATATTTATTCTGCTGTACAAGGCATCCCTAGTTCTTATTTATCTTATAACTGGAAGCTTGTAACTTTTGGCCGCCTTCATCCAATTCCTTCTCCTCTCACCCCCCACCTCTGGTAACCACAAATCTGATCTCTTTTTTCTGTGAGTTTATTTTTGGAGTACAATACCTACAACACTCAGTTCCTGGTGCACAACATAGTGATTCACTAAGTTTATACATTACAAAATGATCACCACGGTAAGTCTACCGTCTGTCCACCATGGGAAGTTATTACAATATTATTGACGATATTCTTCAGGTTGTACCTTTCATCCTGTGGCATTTATTTTGTAACTGGAAGCTTATACTTCTTAATCTCCCTCACCTAATTTTTGCATTCCCCCACTCCTCCCCTCTCAGGCAACCATCTGTTTATTCTCTGCATCTATGATGCTTTCTGTTTTGTTAAGTTTGTTCATTTGCTTTGTTTTTTAGATTCCATACATAAGTGAAAACATGATATTTTTCTTTCTCTGACTTATTTAATATGCATAATACTCTCTAGGTCCATTCATGTTGTTGCAAATGACAAGATTTCCTTTTCCTTTTAATGGCTGAGTGATATTCCACATATTCTCACATCTTTTTATCCATTCATCTGTTGATGGTCACTTAACTTGCTTCCATATCTTGGTTATTGTAAATAATGCTGCAATTGCTGCAATGAAGATGGGGGTGCATATTGCTTTTCAAATCAGAGTTTTTGTTCTCTTAGAAAAAATGTCCAGAAGTAGAATTGCTGGGTCGTATGGTAGTTTTGTTTTTAATTTATCGAGGAACCTCCATATACTATTTTCCATAGTAGCTGCACTAATTTACATTCCCACCAAAGTGCACAGGGTTCCCTTTTCTCCACAGCCTCTCCAACACTTGCTATTTGTTTCTTTTGGATAATAGCCACTCTGACAGGTGTGAAGTGACAGCTCACTTGGTTTGATTTGCATTTCCCTGATGATGAGTGATGCTGAGCACCTTGTCATGTGCCTTTTCATCCGTTTGTCTTCTTTGGGAAAATGTCTATTCAGGTTCTCTGCCCATTTTTTAATCAAGTTATTTTTTTTTTGATATTGAGTTGTATGAGTTCTTTATATATTTTGGATATTAACCCCTTATCAGATATACTGTTTGCAAATATTTTCTCCCATTCAGTAGGCTGCCTTTTCATTTTGTTGATAGTTTTCTTCACTGTATAAAGGCTTTTTAGTTTGATATAGTCCCATTTGTTTATTTTTGCTTTTGTTTCCCTTGCCTGAGGAGACAGATCCTAAAAAATATTGCTAAGATCAATGTCAAAGAGTGTAATGTCTATGTTTCTTCTAGGAGTTTTATGGCTTCAGGTCTTACATTTAAGTTGTTAATCCATTTTGAGTTTATTTTTGTATATGGTGTGAGAAAGTTTGACTGACAAAATTTTAAGACCCCCTTTACTTCATGTTTGACTTTTGCTACACAGTTATTGAAAGGGTCATTTTTTGCAAAAATATTAAAGGACTTTGCCTATTCTCCCAAGGGTCTCTTTTAATTCTCTGATATTTAAATCACTCTCTTATGAAGCTCAAATTGTTTCCTTGTCCAAGTTGGATGAAAGCCTGCATCGTT